AGACAGGATCATCTGAGAGGGAAAAGGCTGTAGAGAGTGAGGAGTGTGTCAGCCCAAAGACTGGATCACCTGAGAGGGAAAAGACTGTAGAGAGTGAGGAGTGTGTCAGCCCAAAGACAGGATCATCTGAGAGGGAAAAGGCTGTAGAGAGTGAGGAGTGTGTCAGCCCAAAGACAGGATCACCTGAGAGGGAAAAGGCTGTAGAGAGTGAGGAGTGTGTCAGCCCAAAGACAGGATCACCTGAGAGGGAAAAGGCTGTAGAGAGTGAGGAGTGTGTCAGCCCAAAGACAGGATCATCTGAGAGGGAAAAGGCTGTAGAGAGTGAGGAGTGTGTCAGCCCAAAGACAGGATCACCTGAGAGGGAAAAGGCTGTAGAGAGTGAGGAGTGTGTCAGCCCAAAGACAGGATCACCTGAGAGGGAAACAGCTGTAGAGAGTGAGGAGTGTGTCAGCCCAAAGACAGGATCACCTGAGAGGGAAAAGGCTGTAGAGAGTGAGGAGTGTGTCAGCCCAAAGACAGGATCACCTGAGAGGGAAAAGGCTGTAGAGAGTGAGGAGTGTGTCAGCCCAAAGACAGGATCACCTGAGAGGGAAAAGGCTGTAGAGAGTGAGGAGTGTGTCAGCCCAAAGACAGGATCACCTGAGAGGGAAAAGGCTGTAGAGAGTGAGGAGTATGTCAGCCCAAAGACAGGATCACCTGAGAGGGAAAAGGCTGTAGAGAGTGAGGAGTGTGTCAGCCCAAAGACAGGATCACCTGAGAGGGAAACAGCTGTAGAGAGTGAGGAGTGTGTCAGCCCAAAGACAGGATCACCTGAGAGGGAAACAGCTGTAGAGAGTGAGGAGTGTGTCAGCCCAAAGACAGGATCACCTGAGAGGGAAAAGGCTGTAGAGAGTGAGGAGTGTGTCAGCCCAAAGACAGGATCACCTGAGAGGGAAAAGGCTGTAGAGAGTGAGGAGTGTGTCAGCCCAAAGACAGGATCACCTGAGAGGGAAAAGGCTGTAGAGAGTGAGGAGTGTGTCAGCTCAAAGACAGGATCACCTGAGAGGGAAAAGGCTGTAGAGAGTGAGGAGTGTGTCAGCCCAAAGACAGGATCACCTGAGAGGGAAAAGGCTGTAGAGAGTGAGGAGTGCGTCGGCCCAAAGACAGGATCACCTGAGAGGGAAACAGCTGTAGAGAGTGAGGAGTGCGTCAGCCCAAAGACAGGATCACCTGAGAGGGAAACAGCTGTAGAGAGTGAGGAGTGTGTCAGCCCAAAGACAGGATCACCTGAGAGGGAAAAGGCTGTAGAGAGTGAGGAGTGTGTCAGCCCAAAGACAGGATCACCTGAGAGGGAAACAGCTGTAGAGAGTGAGGAGTGTGTCAGCCCAAAGACAGGATCACCTGAGAGGGAAAAGGCTGTAGAGAGTGAGGAGTGTGTCAGCCCAAAGACAGGATCACCTGAGAGGGAAAAGGCTGTCGAGAGTGAGGAGTGTGTCAGCCCAAAGACAGGATCACCTGAGGGAAACAGCTGTTGAGAGCTATGAGTGTGCCAGTCAAATAACTGATTTTTTTTCACAACCTGATCAGAAAAATCTCCAGTCATTTTTGAATTACCATCCTCAGCAAAAAAGTAGCAATCCAGTGGTGTAGAAAGTGTTCTGTAGCAGAGACGGCACCAGTAGAAGGTGGCTGACGTACTGTCCAGAGCGTCACATGCTGTATTGTTTCATCTGCATGGCATTCGGTAAGAGAACGGATAGCAGTCTGTTCATCAGTGGAATGTCAGATTGGAGGCATATACACCAGCGCACAGAGGAGCATGAGAGAAGCAGTGCACACAGAAACTGTGCTGAAGCTTACCTCTTGAAATCCGCCAGTGCTGATATCAGCAGTGTGTTTGGTGGCAGTCAGATGTCGGCGCACAGAGAGCAGGTCAGAAAAAGACGGCAGGTTTTGGAGCGCATCATAGATGTCATCAAGGTTCTTGGGAAGAGGGGGCTTGCATACAGGAGGTCAGAAAATGAGGCAGCATATACTCTGGAAGACCACACAGTTGATCATGGTAATTTCTTGGAACTCATACTTCTACTGGGGAAGTATGATTTCTGTTTAAAAGAGCACCTGGACAGCTGCATTGAGAACAACAAAAAGTTGCATTTGTCTGGTGGCACGAGAGGCAGAGGCTCCCTTGTAACTTTACTCAAAACCACAGTCAACTCAGTGATAGATGCAATTCACCATCTGATTCAAGAAAACATCTCCAGTGATATCAAGAAAGCAGGAATGTTTTCAGTGCAGCTAGACACAACGCAGGACATCACCTCTCAGGATCAATGCTCTATAATTATGAGGTATGTTACTGATGTTGTTCATGAGAGGCTTGTTGCAGTGCTGAAGTGCAGTTCATCCACTGGACAGGCCTTTGTCAACATGCTGTCAGAAGTTCTGGACAAAATGGGCCTCAGCAAGACCATGTGCATTGGAAATGTGACTGATGGGGCATCAAACATGCAAGGCCAATACAAAGGATCACTGTTGTCTGCACAATCTCCAAACCCGGTGCATGTATGGTGCTACGCACATGTACTAAATCTGGTGCTTGCAAACACAACCCAGATTGTTATTGAGAGTGGGTCCCTGTGTGGGCTCCTCAATGGCATTGCGGTATTCATCAAAGAGTCATATAAAAGGATGAATGTGTGGGAAGAGTCAGGCCGAAACAAGAGACGTAGACGCCTTGCTCCTATTGGCGAGACACGCTGGTGGGCCAAGCATGAGGCCCTGAAGAAGAGACACGCTGGTGGGCCAAGCATGAGGCCCTGAAGAAGAGACATGCTGATGGGCCAAGCATGAGGCCCTGAAGAAGAGACACGCTGGTGGGCCAAGCATGAGGCCCTGAAGAAGAGACACGCTGGTGGGCCAAGCATGAGGCCCTGAAGAAGAGACACGCTGGTGGGCCAAGCATGAGGCCCTGAAGAAGAGACACGCTGGTGGGCCAAGCATGAGGCCCTGAAGAAGAGACATGCTGATGGGCCAAGCATGAGGCCCTGAAGAAGAGACACGCTGGTGGGCCAAGCATGAGGCCCTGAAGAAGAGACACGCTGGTGGGCCAAGCATGAGGCCCTGAAGAAGAGACATGCTGATGGGCCAAGCATGAGGCCCTGAAGAAGAGACATGCTGATGGGCCAAGCATGAGGCCCTGAAGAAGAGACACGCTGGTGGGCCAAGCATGAGGCCCTGAAGACGAGACACGCTGGTGGGCCAAGCATGAGGCCCTGAAGAAGAGACACGCTGGTGGGCCAAGCATGAGGCCCTGAAGAAGAGACATGCTGATGGGCCAAGCATGAGGCCCTGAAGAAGAGACATGCTGATGGGCCAAGCATGAGGCCCTGAAGAAGAGACACGCTGGTGGGCCAAGCATGAGGCCCTGAAGAAGAGACATGCTGATGGGCCAAGCATGAGGCCCTGAAGAAGAGACACGCTGGTGGGCCAAGCATGAGGCCCTGAAGAAGAGACACGCTGGTGGGCCAAGCATGAGGCCCTGAAGAAGAGACACGCTGGTGGGCCAAGCATGAGGCCCTGAAGAAGAGACATGCTGATGGGCCAAGCATGAGGCCCTGAAGAAGAGACATGCTGATGGGCCAAGCATGAGGCCCTGAAGAAGAGACACGCTGGTGGGCCAAGCATGAGGCCCTGAAGAAGGTGTTTGGCTCCTTTGGAAAAGCGGAAGATGGTCTGTACGTTGATGTGCTGTTGACATTATCAGCTATACAGAAACAGGCAACAGTGAAACCATGTATCCGTGTCATGGCCAGAGGATATGCAGAGTCATTGCTCAAGTATGAGACGATCTTGACGGCTCAAATCTTCCTCCGCATATTTGAACATACCTCTCCATTGTCTAAATACCTTCAGACGGCAGGATTGGACATCCTCTCTGCTCACAGAATGGTGGCATCGACACAGGATACGCTGAAAAGCTTGGGAAGAGATTTTGAATCTGTAAAAAAAGCAGCAGACACATTTGTCAACTGGACAAACACAGAAATGCAAGAGAGAGATGATACGGACATTGAAGTGGAGGCCACACTGCCACAAAAGAGGAGGAGGATGAAGAAAGTCTTGCCTGGAGAGATGGCTCAGGATGAGACCCTGGATGATGCAGAACAATCCTATGAGGTGAATGTGCATAACCGGATCATGGACACAGCAATTGAAGCCATTCATAGGCGCTTTTTAACACACTGCAATCTATATGCTCACTTGGCATGTCTGGATCCCAGTGCTCTTCCCTCAGCTCTGCACCAGTGCTCTTCCCCAGTCTGCCCTTCAAGACTTAAGCAAGTGCTTGCAAGGATTTGACAGCAGGGCAACCAAGGAAAATATGCAGGCCGAGTTGAAAAGCTTTGCACTCCAGTGGAACAGGCTGAAGGCATCCCCATTGGCAGAGTACAAAGCAAGAACAGTAGAAGATGGATCAGGTGGTGAGGAGGAGGACAACACAGAAGAGGTTGAGATAACTCCCATAAGCTGTTGCTCCTGCAAAGAATGCCCTCTGTGCTGCTACCAGATACTTCGCCGTTTCAACATGCTAACAGATGCATACCCTGTCCTAGGCCTTACTTATAAATACCTGCTTACATTATCCCTCACACAGGTGGCTTGTGAGCGCACATTTTCCATTTTGAAGTTTATTAAAAACAGACTCAGAAGCACCCTCTCATCTGAGAAATTGGAGGCATTTATGTTGATGGCCACAGAGAAAGACATCCTCATGGCCTTGGACTCTGACTCTGTGATAGACAGACTTGCAGAGAAGAGTGAGCTGCTTAAAAAGCTGCTCCACTGATAAGGCCAGAAATATTTAATATTATTGTTATTATCACACATCACACATTATGGATGTAGTAATTCATTATTTGTCATTTGAATGATGCTTTTCAGAAGTGTTATTGTGCTTATGTGTTGATCCTTAATGGTGTGATCATGAACACTAAATGATCAATTATTCTCCATTACAGGTTGTTCTGATATATTTGAGGAGTCGTTCTCCCTCTGTTCTATATGTGGACTTGTTCTCTCATTTGGGACCACTGTTAGAATTTGGTAAGTTTATCATGTATTTTTTAATGTTGTATAAATTCATACTTCATAATTTTAAAAACGTTTTGAAAGAAACGCACATCCCAAACGTTTTCAACTCTGGGTGCAGGACAGAGGAAAACATTTTATTTATTTTTCAGACTTAATAATGTATCCAATTCCCTCTCAGGTTGACCACTTGACATGTGAGAGCTTGCGGAGTTGTTCCCCCTCCGTCCATTTTCAAGGATTTGCTCCACTTCACCACTTTGTGGCTACTGAGAAGTCTATGATTTGTTGAGTATGTCATGTGTCTTATAATGTTATATGAATTCATACTTGATTTGTGATGATGAGAGACTTAACAATGTTTCCATGTCTCTTTTAGGTTGACCACCCTATATATGAGAGCCTAAGGAGTTGTTTTCCCTCTGTCCCCTTTTGAGGACCTGCTTTGTCTCCTCCATCATTCACTGGGCCACTTTTTGGTTCCTGGGCTTATTTAATGTGGTGAGAGGAATGCAATATGTGTATGTTTAAAGGTTTATGTGAAGAAACATACTATGTGTGTGATAAAATGACAGTTGGTAAATCATAAATGTCTCTTTATATTCTCTGCTACCATTATCTCCTGTCAAACAGGTTTTCCTGACCTGCTAGAAGTTCTTCTATGATGCTTGAGTCTTCCATCATATCTGAGAGCTTCGTCTTGACTTTGTGAGTTTATTATGCAACTTGTTTTGTCTCAGATTGAAACAAAAGGTTTGATTATGATTATTTCCTGGCTGAAGATTTTCATATTGATGGTTTTAATTTCAAACATCTGCATATCTTTTAAGTTCAATGAACAGTTATGCAGGTAGGCCTTAGGGCTCTTTTGAGACTTAAGTCATCCTTCATGACAGATACATGTGTTCACTAAGTGTCACCACGTCACAAAAAGGCTACATGGCTACATATACTTGTCAGTACACAGATACTGAGTACAAGTTCTGTTTGCTGTTTCTTGCAGGTCACGAATTTGGTGAGGAGTAGAGCTGGCTGTCTGCGGACCAGGAAGTAGAGCAATACATACTTGTGCACATACACGTATATGAGAATGCATATCTATTCAGACCTGTAACCCATGTCTTAGACTTTTCACACAGCTATATATATATATATATTTTTTTCCAATTCTCTATTTATGGTTTCATAATGACTGAGTCACCGTTGAGTGAGTGAGTTTCAGCTCTAATGCTGCTACTGTCTGTAATATGTTTCTATTCAGATTATTTGTCAGGATATTTTTTTGTTATTATTGTCCGAGTCTGGTTTGAACTAATACTGGGCTTACACCAAAAGATGTTCACTGTCACAGACTAAAAACTGAAAGGGTAGCATAAGGGTTCTTCCCGTTAGTCTCGTCCCACCCCTAGTCATGACATAACTTCTGTTGTGATTTGACACTATAATGAATAAAGATTGATTGATTGATTGATTGCTATAGCTGTCAATTGTAGTCCTTGAGTTCATAGTTAAGTGCTTTATTTGTTAACTGCTATCAAGGACTATGACTCTCCTTTGTAGTATGCATGAGAGAAGATGCCGCGAGATTAGTGGACTTCTATGTAGTGTGTAGAGTTATATTTGTATTTATTCATGTTAGCAAACTATGGATAAGCTTAAAATGGGAATAATTTGGGTAAAACTGTGAGCTGCATTTGGGGCCTGTTGACATGTGTTTTTGAGGACAAAGGAAGATGGGGGAAGGTGAGAGCATGTCCTGATTTGCATTCAACTTAGAACGAGCTACAGTGGTTGTGATATTAAGAGAGGTCCTTTGGGTTTCTCTGGTGGTTATCAACAGTAGCAGTTAAGTGAATACTGTTCAAACAATACCTGTGTTTGTGTTTTATATTGATTTCTCTGTTTTATCCTTTCATAAATGTAAGGACTACAAATGGCTATAAACATTCTGGGCTGGTTGGAGTAAACAGGGTTTTATTGCTCTGTGGGGGAGGTGTAGGTATGCAGGCCTTGAGACCTTTTGTTGGAAAGTGAGCCTGTTTGGTTTCCTGCTGCGTTTCCTGCTGCGTTGCGTCTCCCAATGAGATGACCTGAAAAGATGACCAGCTGACCTAACACCAAACCCCTCCTTCTTACTCTGGTATATATCCGGTGGATCCCTGGCGTTCGGCCTCTTCTTCACATGCTGCCCTCGGGTGAAAGTAGCTCTGCAGTATGCGAACCAGGGCAGGAGTAAGCCGGTATTACTCCTTAAGCATTACAATATAACTGTAATATATCATGTTGTATTGTAATGATTGTATTGCATTGTCATATTGCCATTAAAGTAGATTATTGTTAACTGTTACTTTGTAGATATGGATTCCTTCCTGTATTATAAACAGCTTCATAGGAACGCGCGGAGATTTGAAAAGCGGACCAGTTATCCCTCCAAATCTCTAACAAGTGTCCGCTGATAATGTAGTGGGCTGGTCTGGACAGAAAATGCCAGGGCTGAATTTTTCTCCCAGTCCACCTCTGAGTATAACCCAATGTAAAGTCCTGCACCATTGTAAGTCTTCATAACAGGCATTTTTACTGTATGTGGAGAAATTACACAATCAATGGCACAGAATTGTACTTAATAAACTATGAATCTTGTGGTGCTTGAAGAAATACAGACTGGTTAAGCCGGCCAGGTTATATATAGGCTATATATATGCCTTTTTTTGAGCCCTTTTTTGCAATATTTATTAAAATGTCACTAGTTATTTAAACAAAGCACTATCTGAGGATAATACAAGCAACCATAAAACACCCTTTATCTAGAGAGCCATTGAAGCCCATGAAGAATGTATCCTTCTACAAATCTTTTCAACTGCTGTATTAATAAAGTTGCCACGTGTTTTCAAATTCAAGTTAAGGCACTATCTGTGTAAACACAGGAGGAGGGGAGGGGACTCTGACAGAGCAACAAGTCCTCCAACTCATACGACCAAATGGGTCGATTGTTCAAGCGCTTAATACGTCCTATAATTACATTTTAAAGTTGTCGGCCTCTAGTGCTCCCGTTGAATGCAAACGTTAGAGATGATCGTTTATTCACAAATAACCCTCTCTGTAAAATCCTAAATTGTAGGATAGTTTGGCCATTAAAACGCTTTTTGATTAGATTTCTAGCGAGAAGTATATATTGTACTTTTAGAATCCACGTCCAGTCGATATGTAGGATCTATAGTTTGATAGATATTAGGAAGATGATTTGAGGTTTCGTCAGGAGAACGTGTATATGCGGCAACCTTCCATGTAAAGTTACAGGTTGAAAACAAACAGTATTTCCGGTCTCGACGTTTTCATAATAAAACCAATGATCAAATGATTTAACAGTGATATCTGCAGTACTCATCCACTAAAACACATCCGTTTATCCTAGTTAATTATACGACATTAATTGGTTTAAATTGTGCACAACGCTTTTGTGTTTTTCCCATAGGTTTTTCTCTTTCGATTCTGAGGAGAAGCCCCTCACTGCAGTGCGCAGTACCTCAAGCCCCTCCTTCTCAACCTTTGAGGCACGTGACTAACGGCCCCTCCTTCTCAACCTAAGCCCCTCCTTCTCAACCTTTGAGGCACGTGACTAACGGCCCCTCCTTCTCAACCTTTGAGGCACGTGACTAACGGCCCCTCCTTCTCAACCTTTGAGGCACGTGACTAACGGCCCCTCCTTCTCAACCTTTGAGGCACGTGACTAACGGCCCCTCCTTCTCAACCTTTGAGGCACGTGACGAGCTTCACAGTTCTTTAACGCCCACATAAAATCAATTTCAAGGACTGCCTACTTCCATCTACGTAACATTGCAAAAATCAGGCATATCTTGCCTCAAAACGATGCAGAGAAACTAGTCCATGCATTTGTTACTTCAAGGCTGGATTATTGTAACTCTTTATTATCAGGGTGTACCAAGAAGTCAGTCAAGTCGCTTCAGCTGATTCAAAATGCTGCGGCTCGTGTACTAACCAGAGTTAGGAAAAGGGACCACATTACTCCTGTTCTGGCTGCCTTACACTGGCTCCCTATAGAACACAGGATATAATTTAAAATTCTTCTTCTCGCCTACAAAGCCCTTAATGGGCAGGCGCCATCTTACCTTAAAGAACTCATTATACCCTACTGTCCTACTAGGGCATTGCATTCCAAGAATGCAGGGTTGTTGGTTGTTCCTAGAGTCTCTAAAAGTACAATGGGAGCCAGAGCCTTTTCTTATCAAGCTCCACATTTGTGGAATCAGCTTCCAGTTTGTGTTCGGGCGGCAGACACCCTATCCGTTTTTAAGAGTGCGCTTAAGACCTTCCTTTTTGATAAAGCTTATAGTTAGGGCTGATTAGATTCAGCCCCTAGTTTTGCTGATATAGGCTTAGTTTGTCGGGGGACATCTTACTTCTTCCTTCTCTCTGTCTATACTTGTGTACTCTCATGTTCCGATTAACCCAGCTTCCCCAAATGTCTTTCTTTTTGGTGTCTATATACGCCGGGATCCGGAGTCATGGATGATCCTGCGGTCCTGTGTCCTGGATCGCGAGCCCTGGATCTTGAGTCGTGGCTGTGGTCCTGGATCATAGGTCCTGGATGGATATCCTCGTGGATTCATCTTCCTATTATACACACATGCATTTCCAAACATTTGGACTACCTATGTTGCAAATGTATTATCTTTTCAATTTACACACGGCATCTATTGCACGTCTGTCCGTCCTGGGAGAGGGATCCCTCCTCTGTTGCTCTCCCTGAGGTTTCTCCCATTTTTCCCTTTAAACTGTGGGTTTTCTTTGGAAGTTTTTCCTTGTACGATGTGAGGGTCTAAGGACAGAGGGTGTCGTATTGTCATACTGATATTTTGTACAAACTGTAAAGTCCACTGAGACAAATGTAACATTTGTGATATTGGGCTATATAAATAAACATTGATTGATTGATTGATTCTGTTCTGTTAATCATAGCGTCAGAGTATTAACTATTTTAACATATAAATATATATATATATACCTTTGAGACACGTGACGAGCTTCACAGTTCTGTTCTGTTAATTATAGCGTCAGAGTATTAACTATTTTAACATATTAATATATATATATATATAATGATACCAATGATGATGGCGAGTGATCTGTCGCCATGGCAACGGCATTTAAAAATGTAAAACTCAAATTAAACACAGCCTTCAAAGCATATTTTAATGTCTATTTGCATGTTAATTGCATCAATTATTTCAGTTATGACTTCAAGAAAGGGCCTTCATTTGCTTTTTAACTTTTTAATTTCAGTGGCAATATTGTATATTTACTGACTTTTTACTGAAAAACATGTGATATAAATGAAATCATATCACATTATTTCCTACCAGTATTTAAAAATATATATTAAAAAAGTGCCATCGTATTGACAAATTGATAGAATTGACAGGATAATATCAATGGTAATATAATACTGTGAACAGAGCCATTCTGTATGTACTTCTACTTGTGATACTTCGAGTACATTTAGCTGATAATACTTATACTCTTTTACTAAAGAAACACTTTGAATTCAGGACTTTCAATTTTATTGAACACAGAGACAGGGACAGGACAACATAAAACACAGACAGATTCTGACAACTATTACATTTTGAGGCATTAGTGAACCTAATACAGATTGTAACAGTTCCCCCCCCAGCAGCGCTCACTCATGACGCATTCAAATTATGGCCTGCTTCTTTTGTGGAACCTCTTCATCCTGAAATATATTTGACAAAGACAGGTTACATGTTTAACACTCACACCTCCATCGTACTCTGACGCTATGATTAACAGAACAGAACTGCTACCCCGGAAACAGGATGTCACGTGCCTCAAAGGTTGAGAAGGAGGGGCCGTTAGTCACGTGCCTCAAAGGTTGAGAAGGAGGGGCCGTTAGTCACGTGCCTCAAAGGTTGAGAAGGAGGGAGAAGCCCCTCACTGCAGTGCGCAGTACCTCAAGTCCCTCCTTCTCAACCTTTGAGGCACGTGACTAACGGCCCCTCCTTCTCAACCTTTGAGGCACGTGACTAACGGCCCCTCCTTCTCAACCTTTGAGGCACGTGACTAACGGCCCCTCCTTCTCAACCTTTGTTGACATCCTGTTTCCGGGGTAGCAGTTCTGTTCTGTTAATCATAGCGTCAGAGTACGATGGAGGTGTGAGTGTTAAACATGTAAGCTGTCTTTGTCAAATATATTTCAGGATGAAGAGGTTCCACAAAAGAAGCAGGTCATCATTTGAATGCGTCATGAGTGAGCGCTGCTGGGGGGGAACTGTTACAATCTGTATTAGGTTCACTAATGCCTCAAAATGTAATAGTTGTCAGAATCTGTCTGTGTTTTATTTTGTCCTGTCCCTGTCTCTGTGTTCAATAAAATTGAAAGTCCTGAATTCAAAGTGTTTCTTAAGTAAAAGAGTATAAGTATTATCAGCTAAAT